ATACACGCTCAATCCGCAAGTCTTATTTAAACTTTTAGTGCCTTGGAGGGTGAGATATTATGTAGTGTTCTAAAATGCGCTAGGCATGAGAAATCTAGCATATGGAGAAGGCATGGAAAAGGCGATCAACTATAGATGCAGTCCCCTTTTATTTTCAAAGTTAAATAAACTATTGAATAGAGGGAACCAATTACTAATGGTCTTATTAAAATGAGTAAAACAATGGTCTTATTAAAATACGAAAACATTTTAGTGCACCTAGGCATGCATATGCTTGTAAGGCTTGATCTTTCCTCAATGCCATGCCCTCATGCCTTTTAGAACGTTGATATTATGACTCCTAAATAATCTAGGGAACTTTAAGCCATGCTTGGTAAAATGAACAAGATTGCATTGGATTGTACTAAAAAGAAAAAGAAATCAAAATCTCATCCACTAGACTATCCAGTTCTCACTTTGAGCTCCTATAATGATTTTCTTGCTGTCAGTTTTTCGTTCATATGTTTTTGAATCAACTTATTTTTCCATCTGTGTGTTCTTGTTTTATTTCCTCCCTTTTCTGTTACCACTTCCAATGTGAAAAATATTTTTATATGAGTTCTAAAGATTAAAGATCTAAATTAGCTTCAGAAAATCTTTCTGCTAGGAGCTTCAATAAATGTATGGAGACCTTTGATGATTTCTATGTTACGTTCTTCATCCTTTTTTAATTGGTATGGAGTTTGCATTTAGTTGAAGACAGTTCATTGAGTGTTTACTGTCATTTATACAGATAACCTTCATTTGATACACTTCACTTTTACGATGTATTTTTCGTTCCTTTATTGGCTTTTACTAGAGTTTCCGGCCATTGTTTACTTAAGGATGAAAACTTCGGCCCACAACAACAGATGATTGCCTACGTACACTACAAACAGACAAGTCCCTTCTTATTTATCTCTTGCTGTTTGACATATTCTAGAATGATTTCTTATGATCAATAATAAACTAAAGTTGGTCATAAGCTTGATCATGGCTCACTAAAAGAAACTGGGCAATTAGCCATCCAATGGCTGATCTACTTCTGTTCATGTCTTTGTATCTCTTATAGTAAGAGAAGTTAAAATTACATTACTATTTGTATTTATTGGTGAATGCATAATTTATATTTTTGTTCTTAGCCTAAGAGAGAGAGAAAATGTGACTTTACCTTTAAAACGATTTCAAAAGAACAATCTTCAGCTTAAAGACCTTAGAATAAAATTTAACTAAAGATTAAATTTCAATTGCTTTAAAGGTTAATATGTATAACATGTAATTGCATGACCCAGGCTTCCATGGAATTCTCGAGCAAAGGTATCTCTTTGGTCTATTCCTCAACATTTGCATACAGGGGTGGATCCAGAATTGGATCCAAGATCGGGTTACAAAATTTCAAACCAGGCTACTATGCTGAAAAAAAATTTCACACATAAAAAACTGATTTTTTACCAAAAAAAATAAAAAATACCTTAAAAAAAAAGCTATTGGACCTGAGACGGGGGGCTACAGCCCAGCCCAGCCCCCACAAAGCCTCCTATGTTTGCATACATCAAATATATTTGCATTATTTATTAACCTTAAGATATTTTTAGAAATTCATCTCAATTAGTTGTCTTCGATGTTCGAATTGTGAACTTGAATGCAAGTGTAGAAGCACCTTCTGATGTATTAGTTCAAATAAGGAGACCAGTTGCTAAAATATTCGGGAAGAGTATATGAATTTTTCCGGAAGATTGTTTAAAATTAAGCTTACGTGAACTAAACATTTGGAAAAAATGATGAAATTGTTGATCCCGTCTACAACACACACTTAATGTTCATGTTTTCTCTTATTCCTTAAGTATATATTTTGACGTAAATAAAAATTATCAATTTGGTTATCTTTTAAAAATGATAAAATCTTTCGCTTGTTATTTTCCCAGCTATGCTGATTTTATTGTAAATGAAGTGGGTTCATATAGAAATATTGTGCATTTAACTTCATTAAAGGTTTCAGCAAAGGTATGCAGTGAAATTCTATTTTTTCTATTACTGTTGTCAGTGCCTTCTATTTACTTTTTGTTGTACAAATGCTTTTTTATGGTGGTATCTTGGTCTAATAGATTTTCGAGGAAAAGGAAGAAAAGATTACCATTCAATTGAATAATAATTATGCCACTAAAATGGAATCTTTTCAAGCTCTTGTTGGTGACTGACATAGAGAAGTTGAAAAGTTTGTTGATTCAAATGCTCCTCATGTAAACGATGAAGATATGTCCATATTGAGCAGTACTGGTTGACAAATTTAATGTGCTTTTATGATATGTTGATTTTTAAATATATTTTTTGATTACTCGTACTAAAAACTAATGATTTACAGGCAATCCATGAATTTTTGAAGCAAAAGTTGATTATTTATTTATTTATTTATTATTATTATTATTATTTTGTTCCTATCTCTCTACGTGCCCTGATTGAGTAATTTCTGCATGTGAATTTATTTTATAAACTTGTCTTTTCATCCTTTCTTTTTAAGCTAAACCTCATTGAACATGAGAAACCATTCCCTTATCATTGTAATTTGGTATATGCTTTCATCTATGAGATAGAGATTGACCATTGATTATTTTTATAATTGTCTTTTGCTTTCATGAATTCCATGAGCACTTATATCGAATTATGCATCTATTATTGCAAACAATTCATTTGTTGTATGAATTTAATATGATCCTTGGTCCACACGTAGATGATTTCTTTTGTTCAGAAATCATTTAATCTTTCTACATGTTCAATAAGGGAAAGTTCATTCCAGTGTAGTTATAACAACTATTGAGTTGATAATATAATTCATGAAAATTCAACACATTTAACAAACTAATATTTCCTTCAGAATAATTTAGCCCGGTGCATTACACGGACAAAGACTAGTATTACTAATAAAATACTAAATAGCATGCTTGATGCCGTGACAAATGAATTGAGCTGCTCGCTTGTTATGGGCTCGGATCGACTCAAGGCATAAACTGTTCAGACTCGTTTGGAGACAAGTTATAGGCACAATTGAATACATTTTTTTCATGAGTTTTTCATGAGTTGGCTCAACTTATGAGGTCCACAAGCCGGCTTGTTTTTTGCTCTCTCTCTCTCTCTCTCTCTTTTTGTTGACTTTATTATATAAAAATAAAATAAAGTTGTCTGCCTTCTATTTTTTTTTTTAAATGAGCAAGCTCGACTCGTGAGTCCACAAACCAAAAAGATCGAGCCAAGCTTAGAATTTGAACACAAGTCAACCTTGAATATTTAAGGTTCGAGTTGTCTCGAACCAGTGTACCCCAACTACACAATCGATCTTAAAGAGTAAGCATTAGATCGTTAGCAAAAGCTATTATCATTCTAAAATCCTTATTCAAATCTTAACATAAACAACTAAAATAAATTGATTAGACATGGACTCTTATTCTCCACTTGTTCGGACCATATTTTGTTAGACACAATCGTGCTATCTACCATTTATTGCTTTATTAACCATTCCACTTTAGCACTAAATTCAACTCTTGATGCACAATTCATTATGTATATTAATCCATTTTTTTCTTGTCGTTTTCACAGGTGGTAAATTGTTATTGAGTGCAGTTATTGATTACGTTTGGGAGTTGAACATAATATAATGTTTATCCTAATTGCTAAGGATTTGTACTTATTTTTATTTGGAAGAATCCTAATAATTCTTTGACTATAATTTATGAACTTTTAGCCTATCAAACTTTAATTTTAACCCTCGTTTGAGCCATTTTTGGATAAAAATATATTTTAGAATAGTGATTTTTTGAAGAGTTTGGTTGAAAAATGAAAAAAAAAAAAATTCAATTTACGTTTAATATTATTTTATTGAAAATGTGTGATTAAAAAGAAAAAAGAGAAAAATATACTTTGATAACAATGAGGATCAAACAAGAGCTTCATAATACTTTCATGAGATTCATAAATTTTTTTTTAATCAATTTTTAGACTTCAAATTTTATCCAATTTTCTTGAATAACCCATTAAATTAAAACATCTATATTATTTAAATAACTTGTTAAGAAATTATAACTCGCATATAATATTTTTCTTTTAGTGTATTTTAACTTATTTTTTCTTATTTAATATGGTACAATAGTATCTACTTCTGAAAAAATATTATCTAATTAACAAAATAATTTTCATTGAAATAGTTTTAAATAACTAGAAAATCGAGGTTTAAAATCAAATCAAAAGTTTTAACCTAATTTCGTCACTAAATAAAGCGAATGGACAATTCATCACCTAAATTTTTTCATTCTATTACCTCAGTCAAGAACATGAAATTCAATGATAAATCACAAATTCTCAATATAAAAATATCGTGTTAATCACTTAGACTGGCGATGATAATCAATTTACGTGACTATGAAGTCATTAACACACTATTGAAGTAACGAATATCTAGATACGGGGCATATCTTAAAAATTATCTTTCTTTTTCCTTCTTTTCCAGCAATTTTCAGTAATTATGATAAAAATCCAAAAAGAAAATAGTTGAAATGGATGGAGATTTGGACCGTGTTTGACTAAAGCCTAAAAAGTATAAAATTACTCATCAGATAACTTTTGTCCACAAATATATATAGGGTTCGTTGGACCCCATTTTCGGAATAATATATTTTTTAATATTAATTTTTTGGATAATGTATGATTAAAAAGTACAAAAAAATTGAATTCACATGTAAAATTATTTTATTGAAAGAATGTGCGGTTAAATGTGAATTTAAGATAAAAAGAGTCTTTAGATAATGAGGCTCAAACAATGACTTAGATAACTTATATCTATTCTTTTAGATTAAAGGGTAAACCTTGTCAAAATAAGTACTTATTTATCTTAAACTTTTTATATGAGCCAAACATGGTTTATTTGGATAGAATCCCACTCTCTATTAGACTATTTGGTAGAATCCCAAACATGAAATGTATAATTGTCCCCACAGGTGGCCACCATAATTGCAACACCCCACCAATTCCGCAATTACACTTTTCCTTGGATAGTTCCATATCCTCATCTTATCCTCTTTGTTAGTCAAAGTTTCCATCTGAATTCATCTCTTTTTCAGAACCCAGAAAAACCCATAAACCTTTCAGAAGTGAAAGTATAAGGAACTATTTTGGACATTGTTGAATGGACTGTTGCCTTTTTTACAGCAAACCCAGATTCTCTTTTCCAGCCCTGCCGTCGATTCGCGGTCGTCTGATCAATTTGAAAATTGATCGGAGGCCTTTGGTTGCGGTGGCTCATAGTTACAATAATAGTGACTATAAGTGTGAGTTTGGAGGTTTGAACACGCCGCTCGAGCCGAAGACGGCGGCTGGGAGGTTCTTGTGTGGCGTATTGCTGAATGATCGGGAATACTTTCATGCTGCTGTTAGGAATCAGTTAGAGCAGCTGGTGGCTGACAGGGATGAAGCTGTGGCTCGTGCCGAGTTCAGCTTGGGCTCTGATATAGCTTCCCTCCATAGGTTGGTGTTCAATTAGTTACTTTTTTTTCCCATCTGTTGCTTATGGAAATTTATTGCATTAAGTTTTAGTCTTTTAGACGATAATAGGGACTATTTGGGTCGGTAAAAAATTACTATTGCTTAAATAAATATTACATACACTATAAAGTTTGTTGCTTTTCTTCAGTATTAGTACAAATACTGTATATGTTTGTCAGAAACCAAAAAAAAAAAAAAAAAGGAAAGAAAGAAATAAAGAAAATAAAAGCAAAAATTGAATACTGCATAAATACCTAAACATTGATGTTTGGTAACATAGCATAATATTCACATAATTTCCAGGAAGGTTTTGATTTTAGCTATAACATATCACAGATTGTCGATAAGCTATTTCAGTTATGAGTTAATGTACGAATAATGGTGAGAGTTACGTTAAATAAGCAGTTGTATAATCCTGTCATTACTTGTTTGTATCTGAATGTTTGCTTGACATCATTTTGCGCCATTGAGAAGATTTTAGTAATTAGCTTGTTTATTTTTACAAACTCCATGGTACATTTTTGGAAAAGCGCAGAACTCCTTGATAATGGCATGGACCGGAGGAGGTGTACTAGTGCATCGAGTTCCTTGAGAATGCAACGGCATGGAGGATGGTGTACTAGTATTTCCACCGGACATCTCGTGGCTTTCATGAAGAAATTTCTCTAGTACTTGAGATTCGAGGAGCAGTTGTCATTTGTTGCTCCAAGGTGGGACATTCTCTGTTGATTGTGAAAATAACCACTTCAGGGATGACATTGATGGTTTTGGCATTACTACATTTTCGAGGAGGCAAGTTTGAGGAATTAGAAACTTAGGCGTTTCATAAATGATTACTTCATTGAAATAATTGAACTGTAGGCCAAACGAATGCTGTTACCTGAAATGCTGTGGTAATGCTGGTTAAAAATATGAAATCTTCGATTTTTCTTGGTGCTTTTACTGACTACGAGAATGAATGAATGGCAGGAGGATTGCTGAATTGAAGAAGCACGAATGCGAGGCCGCAGTCGAAGATGTGATGTATATGTTAATTTTTTACAAGTTTATGGAGATCAGAGTTCACTTGGTCCCAAGGCTTTCCAAGTGTGTCTACAATGGCAGACTCGAAATCTGTCCTTCAAAGGACTGGGAACTGGAGTCAATTCACGATTTTGAGGTTTTGGAGATGGTTAAGGAACATATTACTGCTGCTGTTGGCAGGAAAGCAACCTCTAATGTCACTGACAGTTGGACCACAACTGAGATCCCGAGGCTTCATCTCTGCAGACTATATGCTGCTTCCATCTTGTACGGTTACTTTTTAAAGACCGCCTTGTTCAGGTACCGTCTGGAAAGGAGTCTAGATCTCACAAACCTGGACTTTGGTACTGATGCTTATTGCCAACTTCCACTTTCGGAGATGTCATCTTTTGGATCGAAGTACATTGCATTTGGTCGCACTAACGGCCCGAATTCTACGTCTACAGGTCGTGTATCATGTAGTCTAGGCAAGAAACACGAGAAATTGAGGTGTTATGTGATGGGATTTGACCCGGAAACACTGCAGATGTGCGCGAAACTGAAGTCCAAGGAGGCTCTGAATCTGATTGAGAGACACTGTTGTGCTTTATTTGGAGATGAAAATACAGGTTTGCTCGAAACCGATAATTCAATTTCCACATCTTTTGCAAGTCTCAAGAGATTTGTGCTGGAGGCCGTTGCTTATGGTTCGTTCCTGTGGGACGCGGAAGAATGTGTGAATGCTGTATATAAGCTAGAGGAAAACTGAGAGACCAGAACCGAAGTTCATCAAGCACATTTGTATATAATGGTTTTCTTCTTTCGACTCTAGAGGATCCGTATCTTGCAAATATGGAAAGGAGATGTACAGTACATTGTCTTTTCAGCGTATTGTATGGAAGTTTAATAGTGAATAAAATGAAAATTTTGAGTACTGTCATTTATGGTTTACTACTCGTGGAATTAGTATACTGATGAAAGCCTAATTACTCCAAATAATCAAATTGCATGTTTGGTAAAATTTATGATCACTTGTAAGTACATCAAACTCTTTTTTTTTTCTTTTTTCGCTGAATTTCATAGAATTTACAACTTTTATTTATTTTTTAATCATAATTTCATTGCTTATAATTACTTAGAAAGCTTCTTAATTTCGAAAATAAGTTTTGACTTTTCTTGCAAAGACTCCTTCAATTGGTTCGTTACTTTGGGGACAGTTTTAAGCCTATGTTTGATCTTCATTTTTTTCAATATTTAAATTTATTTTTAATTACACATTCTCCCATAGAATAATTTTACAAATAAACTCAAAAAAATTTCATATATTTTTATCGCACATTCTTCAAAAAATATTATTTCAAGATACATTTTCATTCAAAAACTAAGCTCAAACACGTATTTTGGAAAATGTGAAGTTTTAGACATTTCTTCATTGCGTGTGGGGGGTGTTTGGGGTTAATCGATCTTAAAACTTGGTTCATCTCTCTTCATCAGATACTGAGTAACCCACGTGGG